TAGGCCAAATTTTGACATTTTCGAAACCTAACTGAGTATATTTTCTTGTAGATTTCGAGCTCTAGAACTCACTTCCGGCCTCGATTCTTTGATAGCTGCAACCGTTTTTCCAGAATCGACGGTTGAATTATCGGAATTTATGAAAATTCGATAAATTAGACATTTCGTACCGATTTTTTCGAAAATGTCGCTCCGCGGCCATCAACAGCCTATATTTGTGAAATCAGCACGTCGAGATCTACGTCCCTGAATTTTTTCAGAATTTTTAAACGACTTTTTCAAAAGTGAAAATTTTCCAATTCTTCAAATTTTGGCCAAATTTTGACATTTTCGAAACCTAACTGAGTACATTTTCCTGTAGATTTCGAGATCTAGAACCCACTTCCGGCCTCGATTCTTTGATAGCTGCAACCGTTTTTTCAGAATCGACGGTTGAAATATCGAAATTTTTGAAAATTCGATAAATTAGGCATTTCGCACCGATTTTTTCGAAAATGTCGCTCCGCGACCATCAACAGCCTATATTTTTGGAATCAGCACGTCGAGATCGACGTCCCTGAATTTTTTCAGAATTTTTAAACGACTTTTTCAAAAGTGAAAATTTTCCAATGGTCCCCCCTTCTTCAAATTTCGGCCAAATTTTGACATTTTCGAAACCTAACTGAGTACATTTTCTTGTCGATTTCGAGCTCTAGAACTCACTTCCGGCCTCGATTCTTTGATAGCTGCAACCGTTTTTCCAGAATCGACGGTTGAAATATCGAAATTTTTGAAAATTCGATAAATTAGACATTTCGTACCGATTTTTTCGAAAATGTCGCTCCGCGACCATCAACAACTTACATTTTTGGAATCAGCACGTCGAGATCTAGGTCCCTGAATTTTTTCAGAATTTTTAATTGACTTTTTCAAAAGTGAAAGTTTTGCAATGGTCCCCCCTTCTTCAAATTTCGGCCAAATTTTGACATTTTCGAAACCTAACTGAGTACATTTTCTTGTCGATTTCGAGCTCTAGAACTCACTTCCGGCCTCGATTCTTTGATAGCTGCAACCGTTTTTCCAGAATCGACGGTTGAATTATCGAAATTTATGAAAATTCGATAAATTAGATATTTCGTACCGATTTTTTCGAAAATGTCGCTCCGCGGCCATCAACAGCCTATATTTTTGAAATCAGCACGTCGAGATCTACGTCCCTGAATTTTTTCAGAATTTTTAAACGACTTTTTCAAAAGTGAAAATTTTCCAATTCTTCAAATTTCGGCCAAATTTTGACATTTTCGAAACCTAACTGAGTACATTTTCCTGTAGATTTCGAGATCTAGAACCCACTTCCGGACTCGATTCTTTGATAGCTGCAACCGTTTTTCCAGAATCGACGGTTGAAATATCGAAATTTTTGAAAATTCGATAAATTAGGCATTTCGTACCGATTTTTTCGAAAATGTCGCTCCGCGACCATCAACAGCCTATATTTTTGGAATCAGCACGTCGAGATATACGTCCCTGAATTTTTTCAGAATTTTTAAACGACTTTTTCAAAAGTGAAAATTTTCCAATGGTAACCTCTTCTTCAAATTTCGGCCAAATTTTGACATTTTCGAAACCTAACTGAGTACATTTTCTTGTAGATTTCGAGCTCTAGAACTCACTTCCGGCCTCGATTCTTTGATAGCTGCAACCGTTTTTCCAGAATCGACGGTTGAAATATCGAAATTTTTGAAAATTGGATAAATTAGGCATTTCGTACCGATTTTTTCGAAAATGTCGCTCCGCGACCATCAACAGCCTATATTTTTGGAATCAGCACGTCGAGATCTACGTCCCTGAATTTTTTCAGAATTTTTAAACGACTTTTTCAAAAGTGAAAATTTTCCAATGTTCCCCCCTTCTTCAAATTTCGGCCAAATTTTGACATTTTCGAAACCTAACTGAGCACATTTTCTTGTTGATTTCGAGCTCTGGAACTCACTTCCGGCCTCGATTTTTGATAGCTGCAACCGTTTTTCCAGAATCGACGGTTGAAATATCGAAATTTTTGAAAATTGGATAAATTAGGCATTTCGTACCGATTTTTTCGAAAATGTCGCTCCGCGACCATCAACAGCCTATATTTTTGGAATCAGCACGTCGAGATCTACGTCCCTGAATTTTTTCAGAATTTTTAAACGACTTTTTCAAAAGTGAAAATTTTCCAATGTTCCCCCCTTCTTCAAATTTCGGCCAAATTTTGACATTTTCGAAACCTAACTGAGCACATTTTCTTGTTGATTTCGAGCTCTGGAACTCACTTCCGGCCTCGATTTTTGATAGCTGCAACCGTTTTTCCAGAATCGACGATTGAAATATCGAAATTTTTGAAAATTCGATAAATTAGACATTTCGTACCGATTTTTTCGAAAATGTCGCTCCGCGACCATCAACAGCCTATATTTTTGGAATCAGCACGTCGAGATCTACGTCCCTGAATTTTTTCAGAATTTTTAAACGACTTTTTCAAAAGTGAAAATTTTCCAATGTTCCCCCCTTCTTCAAATTTCGGCCAAATTTTGACATTTTCGAAACCTAACTGAGCACATTTTCTTGTTGATTTCGAGCTCTGGAACTCACTTCCGGCCTCGATTCTTTGATAGCTGCAACCGTTTTTCCAGAATCGACGATTGAAATATCGAAATTTTTGAAAATTCGATAAATTAGACATTTCGTACCGATTTTTTCGAAAATGTCGCTCCGCGACCATCAACTATCAACCTATATTTTTGGAATCAGCACGTCGAGATCTACGTCCCTGAATTTTTTCAGAATTTTTAAACGACTTTTTCAAAAGTGAAAATTTTCCAATGGTCCCCCCTTCTTAAAATTTCGGCCAAATTTTGACATTTTCGAAACCTAACTGAGTACATTTTCTTGTAGATTTCGAGCTCTAGAACTCACTTCCGGCCTCGATTCTTTGATAGCTGCAACTGTTTTTCCGGAATCGACGGTTGAAATATCGAAATTTTTGAAAATTCGATAAATTAGACATTTCGTACCGATTTTTTCGAAAATGTCGCTCCGCGACCATCAACAGCCTATATTTTTGGAATCAGCACGTCGAGATCTACGTCCCTGAATTTTTTCAGAATTTTTAAACGACTTTTTCAAAAGTGAAAATTTTCCAATGGTCCCCCCTTCTTCAAATTTCGGCCAAATTTTGACATTTTCGAAACCTAACTGAGGACATTTTCTTGTAGATTTCGAGCTCTAGAACTCGCTTCCGGCCTCGATTCTTTGATAGCTGCAACCGTTTTTCCAGAATCGACGATTGAAATATCGAAATTTTTGAAAATTCGTTAAATTAGACATTTCGTACCGATTTTTTCGAAAATGTCGCTCCGCGACCATCAACAGCCTACATTTTTGGAATCAGCACGTCGAGATCTACGTCCCTGAATTTTTTCAGAATTTTTAAACGACTTTTTCAAAAGTGAAAATTTTCCAATGGTCCCCCCTTCTTCAAATTTCGGCCAGATTTTGACATTTTCGAAACCTAACTGAGTACATTTTCTTGTAGATTTCGAGCTCTAGAACTCACTTCCGGCCTCGATTCTTTGATAGCTGCAACCGTTTTTCCAGAATCGACGGTTGAAATATCGAAATTTTTGAAAATTCGATAAATTAGATATTTCGTAACGATTTTTTCGAAAATGTCGCTCCGCGACCTTCAAGAGCCTATATTTTTGGAATCAGCACGTCGAGATCTACGTCCCTGAATTTTTTCAGAATTTTTAAACGACTTTTTCAAAAGTGAAAATTTTCCAATGGTCCCCCCTTCTACAAATTTCGGCCAAATTTTGAGTAACTATGATTCTTCAGTAGGAGTAACTATGATTCTTCGGTGGGAGAAACTATGATTCTTCGGTGGGAGTATCTATGATTCTTCGGTGGGAGAAACAATGATTCTTCGGTGGGAGTAACTATGATTCTTCGGTGGGAGTAACTATGGTTCTTCGGTGGGAGTAACTATGATTCTTCGGTGGGAGTAACTATGATTCTTCGGTGGGAGTAACAATGATTCTTCGGTGGGAGTAACTATGATTCTTCGGTGGGAGTAACTATGATTCTTCGGTGGGAGTAACTATGATTCTTCGGTGGGAGTAACTATGATTCTTCGGTGGGAGTAACTATGATTCTTCGGTGGGAGTAACTGTGATTCTTCGGTGGGAGTAACTATGACTCTTCGGTGGGAGTAACTATGATTCTTCGTTGGGAGTAACTATGATTCTTCGGCGGGAGTAACTATGATTCTTCGGTGGGAGTAACTGTGATTCTTCGGCGGGAGTAACTATGACTCTTCGGTGGGAGTAACTATGATTCTTCGGTGGGAGTAACTATGATTCTTCGGTGGGAGTAACTATGATTCTTCGGTGGGGGTAACTATGATTCTTCGGTGGGAGTAACTATGATCCTTCGGTTGGAGTAACTATGATTCTTCGGTGGGAGTAACTATGATCCTTCGGTGGGAGTAACTATGATTCTTCGGTGGGAGTAACTATGATTCTTCGGTGGGAGTAACTATGATTCTTCGGTGGGAGTAACTATGATCCTTCGGTGGGAGTAACTATGATCCTTCGGTGGGAGTAACTATGATTCTTCGGTGGGAGTGACTATGATTCTTCGGTGGGAGTGACTATGATTCTTCGGTGGGAGTAACTATGATTCTTCGGTGGGAGTAACTATGATTCTTCGGTGGGAGTAACTATGATTCTTCGGTGGGAGTAACTATGATTCTTCGGTGGGAGTAACTATGATCCTTCGGTTGGAGTAACTATGATTCTTCGGTGGCAGTAACTATGGTCCTTCGGTGGGAGTAACTATGATTCTTCGGTGGGAGTAACTATGATTCTTCGGTGGGAGTAACTATGATTCTTCGGTGGGGTGTTTATGCTAATGTTAATTCACTTTTTTCTAAAATAAACGAATTTACCGCATTTGTTCAACTTAATAATCCAAATATAATTATGTTAACAGAAACCTGGTTATCAACAAACATTCCTGACTCTCTGATATCTCTTCAAGGCTATCAGTTGTATCGTCAAGATCGTAACACTGGTAGAGGTGGCGGCATCTGCATTTTTATCGATAACAAATTAGCATCTAAAGTCCAAATTTCAACGATTCCTTTTGAAACACCTGCGGGCTGCGAGGCATTAGCCTTAAACATGCATTCACCTCAATTTAGTCTTTCTATAGGTTGCATTTATAGACCCTTCTTTAGACCCATTCCGGAAATTGATTTTTCTTTATTCCACAGCATTAAAAATTTTTCCCTTTCCAACAAAAATGTGATCATCGCAGGCGACTTTAACATGACACACCTATCTTGGCCAATAATACCAAATTTGCCCTACAACGAAAACATTTTGGACTCTATTCTGGAAGGAAACTTAAACCAATTAATCACGAAGCCAACGAGGATTCGACAAAATCAAGCCCCTTCTCAAACGGATTTAATTTTTACAAATGATTTACATTTACTGACAAACATAGAATACTTACCACCATTAGGAAAATCAGATCACCTCACAATTGCATCCAAGCTCCAAATCCATGTCACGCAAGCAAAAAATGGGATCATTAAAAGAATTAATCGCACAAATTACGACAAAGTTCGAAATGACCTTGCCCTTATCAGCTGGAACTCAGCATTCAATTCACTCAACACTTCTCAAATGTGGAAGTTATTTGAAACAAAATTATCCAGTTCCGTAAAAAAACATACTTCTACTATAAAAATTAAAGTCCTCCCTCAGAAACCTTGGATAAATCACCATTTACTCAAGTTAATCAAACAAAAAAAGCGTATTTGGGAAGCATATAAAAGAAGTCCATCGGAAAACAAATATCTCGATCACAGAAGATTTTCTAACCACGTCGTTTCAGAGCTGAAAAAAGCAAGAAAAATTTTCGAAGACAATTTAGCAAAATCAGAATCTTCTAAGAAATTTTACAAATACATAAGGTCATCCCTCTCAACCAAAGTTGGTATTCCATTACTAAGAAAACCCGACGGCAACCTTTGCCTATCTAACAAAGAAACAGCGGATCTCCTTGCAGATGAATTCCACTCCAACTACAGTCTGGAAACTTATGGACCATTTTTAAAGACAATCGTTTCAAACAGAAATTCCTTGTCGAACATAATTATTACAGAGGCAGCGATAAAAGAAACTCTCAAAGAAATAGCTAAAAGACAAAGCGCCCCAGGTCCCGACAACATCACTTGCCAGGTTATCAACGCCTGTATCGAGGAAATTACCACCCCCATATTTTGCATCACCAAATCTTCAATTGAAGAAGCAACACTTCCCTGCCAGTGGTTAACAGCCAACGTAACTCCAATCTACAAAAAAGGAGACAAATTTTCCCCCACAAATTACCGGCAAATAAGTTTAACATCGATTATATGCAAAGTACTGGAAACGATTATATATAAACAAATGTTGACATTTTTACTACACGAAATAGTATATTATTAGCCAAGGTTGCAGAGCCAAGCATTCTAGACCGAGCGCAAATTAGAACCCGAGACGCGCAGCGTCGAGGGCTCTAAGTGCGAGGTGTAGAAGTGGCTTTGCAACCGTGGTTAATATACTATTTTTTTCACTAGTAGAAACCATAAGACAATAAACTGAAAAATAAACGTTCAATTTTTTGACACAACGTGAGTTTGTTTTGATTTCTAATCAAACTTGATCTAAATCTTCAACACAAAGAAAATCGTTTATACTTGTCGCTGAGTTAATCATTTTATCTTCTACCGTCTACCAACTACCATGCATATACTCAAGTAATGTTTGTAGCACACATTTGTTCATTTTTTAAGAAATAATCACATCAAACATTGCGTACATAACCTCAATTTTTCTTTTTGAACCCGTGGTAGCAAAAGTTGAATTTGCTACCACTAAATGAGTCGACATTTGCATGCGTCCAGGCTGCTAGTGAAAAAAGATTATTCCCGACTGCCAACACGGATTTCTACCTGGACGTTCAACGATTACTAACATGCTAGTGTGTGTCAATGACTGGACACTAGCTTTAGATTCTGAACAACCACGGGATATCGCATATTTAGATTTCTCTAAGGCATTTGATCGGGTCCCCAAAGAGCGTCTTCTCTTCAAACTTCAATCTGCAGGTATAAGAGGTAAACTTTTAAATTGGATTCGGGCATTCCTTTCCAACCGTACATTTAAAGTAAGAGTGGGATCAGATTTCTCTCAAATAAGGCCTGTCCAAAGTGGAGTCCCCCAAGGCTCAATTCTGGGTCCTCTCCTCTTCTTAGTTTTTACATCGGACATTCCCAAGTTAATCCATTCCAATATAGCCATGTTTGCTGACGACATTAAGCTTTATTCCAATCCACTCAAAGACCCTGGTCAATTACAGTCAGATCTTACCACTATCAAACACTGGTCCGATGCTTGGCTGCTGCCGTTAAACCAAGACAAATGCACCATACTTCGTCTTGGCAAAAACAACCCCTGTGTCAACTACCAAATAAATGACACCACCATAAAAGTTGTGGCAGAACAAGTCGATCTTGGGATCACAGTAACCAGCGATTTATCGTGGTCATCGCACATCAACAAAATATGTCACAAAGCCAACAAGATGTTATATCTAATCGGCAAGACATTCCAACACATTTCTTCGAGATCTGCGAAGAAACTTTATACCACCTACGTAAGACCCGTGTTGGAATTTGGAGGTCCAGTATGGTACTGCAGTCGTGTGAGCGATAAGAACCGACTCGAACTTACGCAACGTCGAGCCACCAGGTTGTCCTTTGGAACGAATAGACCCTCATACGAAGAGAGACTTAGGCTATGGAACCTACCCACATTTGAACAAAGAAAAAAAAGAGGCGATATGATAATTACTTTTAGAATTCTTCATGGTCACTTCCCAGTTGATCTCCGAACATTGTTTACAATTAATGACGATGCACGTCTTCGAGGCCACCCCCTGAAGCTCAAAAAAGAAAAATTCAAAACTTCCATCCGCCAGAATTTTCTCCCAAATAGAATATTTGATACTTGGAACAACCTCCCCAAGGAAATTGTAGAAGCGCGAACTACAAACAGCTTTAAAAACGCATATGACGATCTCAACGTGGCAAATAACTAACACAATCAACTTTTTTTTTTTTTTCTTTTATTATTTTAATTTTGTATAATAGAATTTAATTTCAATTTTTGTATAGAAGACCATTTATATTTGTTAACTCTACAGATCTATAGACTGCAACAGTCTCAATCTGTATTTATATTGTAATAATAACTATGATTCTTCGGTGGGAGTAACTATGATTCTTCGGTGGGAGTAACTATGATTCTTCGGTGGGAGTAACTATGATTCTTCGGTGGGAGTAACTATGATTCTTCGGTGGGAGTAACTATGATTCTTCGGTGGGAGTAACTATGATTCTTCGGTGGGAGTAACTATGATTCTTCGGTGGGAGTAACTATGATTCTTCGGTGGGAGTAACTATGATTCTTCGGTGGGAGTTACTATGATTCTTCGGTGGGAGTAACTATGATTCTTCGGTGGGAGTAACTATGATTCTTCGGTGGGAGTAACTATGATTCTTCGGTGGGAGTAACTATGATTCTTCGATGGGAGTAACTATGATTCTTCGGTGGGAGTAACTTTGATTCGTCGGTGGGAGTAACTATGATTCTTCGGTGTGAGTAACTATGATTCGTCGGTGGGAGTAACAAAGATTCATCGGTGGGAGTAACTATGATTCTTCGGTGGGAGTAATTATGATTCTTCGGTGGGAGTAACTTTGATTCGTCGGTGGGAGTAACTATGATTCTTCGGTGGGAGTAACTATGATCCTTCGGTGGGTGTAACTATGATTCTTCGGTGGGAGTAACTATGATTCTTCGGTGGGAGTAACTATGATTCTTCGGTGGGAGTAACTATGATTCTTCGGTGGGAGTAACTATGATTCTTCGGTGGGAGTAACTATGATTCTTCGGTGGGTGTAACTATGGTTCTTCGGTGGGAGTAACCATGATTCTTCGGTGGGGTATCATATGACGCGGAATTTCCTCAGGATTACGATTCCATATTCGCTTTTGCCGGATCTCTTCAATTAAGCGAGAAAAATGCAAATTTGTCTGGGGGGAAGTAACTATGACTATGTACTTCAAAGGACGATTCTCGATAAACCAAGGTAGTTATCGAAGAGGTGAAAGCGGATTTGACTTCTACGGCCCGAAATCTATAAGAAAATGTATTAAGTGAAATTTCGAAAATTTTGTTGAAAATTGGTAGAAAATTGAGGTCATTTTGCATATTTTTGAACATTTCAAAGGACGGTTCTGGGAAAACCATTGGAGTTATCGAAGAAATGAAAACGGATATGGCTTTTGCGGCCCGAAATGTGCAAGAAAATGTATTAAGTGAAATTTCGAAAATTTTGTTAAAAATTGATGGGAAATTGAGGTCATTTTGCATATTTTTGAATATTTCAAAGGACGATTCCGGGAAATCCATTGAAGTTATCGAAGAAATGAAAACGGATATGGCTTCTGAGGCCCGAAATGTGCAAGAAAATTTATTAAGTGAAATTTCGAAAATTTTGTTAAAAATTGATGGGAAATTGAGGTCATTTTGCAAATTTTTGAATATTTCAAAGGACGATTCTGGGAAAACCATTGAAGTTATCGAAGAAATGAAAACGGATATGACTTCTGTGGCGAAAAAGGACGAAAAAGGATACTAAAAACGAAAAAGGACGAAGATGGACGAAAGAGGACGAAAAAAGTCGAAAAAGGACATAAAACCGGCGAAAAAGGACGAAGAAGGACGAAAAAGGGTAAAAGGGACGAAAAAGGACGGAAAAGAACGAAAAAGAAACCAAAAATGAAGAGAAGGGCAAAAAGGGTAAAGAGAATTTTGGAGGGGAGTAACTATGATTCTTCGGTGGGAGTAACTATGATTCTTCGGTGGGAGTAACTATTATTCTTCGGTGGGAGTAACTATGATTCTTCGGTGGGAGTAACTATGATTCTTCGGTGGGAGTAACTATGATTCTTCGGTGGGAGTAACTATGATTCTTCGGTGGGAGTAACTATGATTCTTCGGTGGGAGTAACTATGATTCTTCGGTGGGAGTAACTATGATTCTTCGGTGGGAGTAACTATGATTCTTCGGTGGAAATAACTATGATTCTTCGGTGGGAGTAACTATGATTCTTCGATGGGAGTAACTATGATTCTTCGGTGGGAGTAACTTTGATTCGTCGGTGGGAGTAACTATGATTCTTCGGTGGGAGTAACTATGATTCTTCGGTGGGAGTAACTATGATTCTTCGGTGGGAGTAACTATGAATCTTCGGTGGGAGTAACTATGATTCTTCGGTGGGAGTAACTATGATTCTTCGGTGGGAGTAACTATGATTCTTCGGTGGGAGTAACTATGAATCTTCGGTGGGAGTAACTATGATTCTACGGTGGGAGTAACTATGATTCTTCGGTGGGAGTAACTATGATTCTTCGGTGGGAGTAACTATGATTCTTCGGTGGGAGTAACTATGATTCTTCGGTGGGAGTAACTATGATTCTTCGGTGGGAGTAACTATGATTCTTCGGTGGGAGTAACTATGATTCTTCGGTGGGAGTAACTATGATTCTTCGGTGGGAGTAACTATGATTCTTCGGTGGGAGTAACTATGATTCTTCGGTGGGAGTAACTATGATTCTTCGGTGGGAGTAACTATGATTCTTCGGTGGGAGTTACTATGATTCTTCGGTGGGAGTAACTATGATTCTTCGGTGGGAGTAACTATGATTCTTCGGTGGGAGTAACTATGAGTCTTCGGTGGGAGTAACTATGATTCTTCGATGGGAGTAACTATGATTCTTCGCTGGGAGTAACTTTGATTCGTCGGTGGGAGTAACTATGATTCTTCGGTGGGAGTAACTATGATTCTTCGGGGGGAGTAACTATGATTCATCGGTGGGAGTAACTATGATTCTTCGGTGGGAGTAACTATGATTCTTCGGTGGGAGTAACTATGATTCTTCGGTGGGAGTAACTATGATTCTTCGGTGGGAGTAACTATGATTCTTCGGTGGGAGTAACTATGATTCTTCGGTGGGAGTAACTATGATTCTTCGGTGGGAGTAACTATGATTCTTCGGTGGGAGTAACCATGATTCTTCGGTGGGGTATCATGTGACGCGGAATTTCCTCAGGATTACGATTCCATATTCGCTTTTGCCGGATCTCTTCAATTAAGCGAGAAAAATGCAAATTTGTCTGGGGGGAAGTAACTATGACTATGTACTTCAAAGGACGATTCTCGATAAACCAAGGTAGTTATCGAAGAGGTGAAAGCGGATTTGACTTCTACGGCCCGAAATCTACAAGAAAATGTATTAAGTGAAATTTCGAAAATTTTGTTGAAAATTGGTAGAAAATTGAGGTCATTTTGCATATTTTTGAACATTTCAAAGGACGA